TGGAGGAGGAAGATGACGGTGGTGGTGATGACCAGACTCAAACAAGGACGGAGATGGGGATGATGATAATGATGATGATGATGATGATGAGGATGAGTATGATGATGATGATGATGATGATGATGATGATGATGATGATGATGATGATGATGATGATGATGATGATGATGATGATCACGATCATGATCATGATCATGATCATGATCATGAACATGAATGATCATGATGATGATTGGTCACGGTGATGATTGTGATGGTGATAGTGATGGAAATGGTGGTGATGATGCTGATGATGAGGATGGCGATGACGATGATAATGCTGATGATTTTGATGATGGGACTGCTGATGATGCTGATGATGATGCTGATGTTGATGTTGATGATGATGATGTTTATGGGGATGACGATGATGATGCTGTTGTTGATGAAGATGATTGCGATTATGAGTCTGATGATGGCGGTGATGAATCTGATGGCGATGCGGTTGATGAGCATTCAGAGGAGGAGGCGGAGGAGGCGGAGGACGAGGATGAGGATGAGGATGAGGATGAGGATGAGGAGGATCAGGAGGATGAGGATGCTTATGAAGATGAGGATGAGGATGTTAATGATGCTGCTGCTGCTGCTGATGATGATGATCATCATCATCATGCTCATGCTCATGATCATGATCATGATCATGACGATGGTGATGCTGGTGGTGGTGACGATGGTGGTGGTGGTGATGACGATGCTGATGCTGATTATGATGATGCGATGGAGGAGAAGGAGGAGGAGGCGGAGGAGGAGGAGGAGGAAGAGGACGAAGAGGATGCCGGGAACGAGGAGGAGGAGAAGGAGGAGGAGGAGGAGAAGTAACGCCGTCCCACGTGACACCTTCCGTCTGCACTTCGTGAGGAGCCTTCCTGGACCTCACTTGGGCAGCGGTGGGGCCTCGTTTGGGCCTCTCGGGGGGGGGGGGCGCGTTTGGGGTCCTCTTGGGGGTCTCCTTTGGCCCTCTTGGGGGCCGCATGGGTCCTGGAGGCCTCTTGGGGCGGAACGCTTGAATTGTCGGTTCGTGCCCCTCCCCCCATCGTGGGCCCTTCTTGGGGCCGCTTGGGGGTCCTCTTGGGCCGTCTTCGGCGCCGTGGAGCTTTCTTAGACAGTATGGAGGCCCTTGGGGCCTCTTCGGCCGTCGTGGGACAGTCGTAGGGGCTCCTTGGGCAGCCCTGGCGCGTCCGAAGCTCGAAAAGACGGACGCCCCCAAAACATTGAAAACCTAAGGAGGGCCATTGATGTATGCTTCTCGGGGACCTCTTGAGGGCCTCTTTTGGCCATCTCGGGGCCGCCTGAGACCACTTGGGGCGGAAGGCTCGACTGGTCAATTCGTGCTCCCCTCCTGGGCCCTCTTGAGCTGCCTTGGAGCCCCGTTGAGCCGTCTTGGGGCCCTCCTGGGGGACCACTGGGGGCCTGTTCGGCCGTCTTGGAGCAGTCTTGCGGGCCTGGGTCGCCTTGGGACGACGGAGGCTCAAAACGGCGAGGCGAGGACCCCACAGACATTGAGAAGCCAACGGAAAACCACTCCTCCCCCTCCCCCTCCTCCTCCTCCTCCTCCTCCTCCTCCTCCTCCTCCCCCTCCTCCTCCTCCTCCTCCTCCTCCTCCTCCTCCTCCTCCTCCTCCTCCTGGGGAGGTTGCTTCCTTGGGGAGGCTCTCGAGTCTCTCCCTGAGACGCCTCGAAGGCCTCGTGGGCCGTCCTGAGGCCGAAGTGCGCCGCCTTGAAGCCCTTATTGGGCCGTCCTGGAGGCACTCTGGCCACGGGAGCACGATGCTGCGTGTTGCTTGAAAAGGTGGCCTCGGGAGGGGGGGCCCTGCATGCAGCCCAGTGCGACGAGAGGGGGGAGGGATGATGATGATGATGAGGAGGAGGAGGAGGAGGAACAGGAGGAGGAGGAGGAGAAGCAGGAGGAGGAGGAGGAGGACGAAGAGGAGGGGGAGGGGCAAACGAGTGAAGAAATCCTAACAGGCAGCACATGGCATTCTAGCACGCCTCTGCGTGCTAGGAGGCACGGTGGCGGACACCTACGCACGCGCATACATCGGTTCACGTAAATGCTTCATTGGGCCATGGGGGCCCCTCACACAGCGACTTGGCCTCTTTTCCCGGGACCTCGTCCTCCTCCGTTCTGTGCATCCCCCTGTTTCATACATCCTCGACGGCACGCTTCGAAAGGTAACCAACCACAGAGGCATCAGATTCGCTTCGCCCTGTCGTGGGGGGGCAAGTTCTGAGACGTGAGAACACAAGGTGGGGATTGCGTTCATGATGTTACATGCACGAACAACGACAATCATGATGATGTACGACAGCTGTACCGGACGATACTCGACCGCATCTCCCAATGCATCTTAAGAAAGCACGATAATCTACCAAAGACGACCAGATAGTAACGAACTATACGGGTGTAGATCTTCGTAGTGAGGTTTGCAATATTTGCCCCTCCTGATCTCCATGATTATGTGGCATTACTTATGATGCCGAAAATGGTATGTGTGTTAGGCGTGCCCGTTGTTGATGTTGCTGCATGGTCTGCGGATGTTTGTATACATGAATGTTTTGTGTTGCGTGCTCGTTATGTTTACCCTAGGTGTTGCATACCCCTGCCCACTTGAGTAGACAACAGTTGCTGTTGGCACGTGTATGTGTGCGTGAGTTGCGTATGGCTTGCATGTACGTCTTGCGCTTGTGGAAGGCACGTGTGTTCATTCCACACGTTCGTGTTGCAGGCTCGCTGGGTGTCTCTTTACCATTATTGTGTGTTTACTTACGGCCGATGTTTACGCGCTTGTGTGTCTTATGCGCAGTGGTTGTTCGGGCTAAGGCTGTTGATTCATACTCATCATGCCCGCTGCCAGGGCAATCATAGTGGATATGGGTGTTGTACGCTTTTTAGGCAGCCAGCTGCATGATGTGCTCATGGCAGTCATGTCTCCTTATGACGTCTGGTCCTCCATGTTTGCTGGATGCGCATCGTCGCAGGCCTAGAGGTTGACACCAACACCAATTTCGGCGGTGCGCCTCCACCGAGGGAAGAAGATCCCGCCCTCGGTGATGGTGGTAGGATTCTGGCCTCAAGATGGCCGAAACATTACCACCAACAGCGAAATCTAGGATCACCTTCCCCCTGTGGAGGCACCCCCCTGTGTTGGTGTTGGTGCCCATTGCCAGGCCTCCAGCATTGTTCTTGTGGCATCGGTCCAGCCCTCTTGCGTCGAGGATGGAGGCGGCACGACAGGGCACCCTACATGGGGAGGAGGAGGAGGAGGGGGAGGAGGAGGAGGGAGGGAGGAGGAGGACGAGGAGGAGGAGGAGGAGTGAGGAGGAGAGAGGAGGAGGAGGAGGAGGAGGAGGAGGGGGAGGAGGAGGAGGTGAGTACGGGGAGGGCCGGGGGGAGGGAGGAGAGAGGACGAGGAGGAGGATGAGGAGGAGGAGGATGGGGAGGAGGAGGAAGAGGAGGAGGGACGAGGAGGAGGGAGCGAGGAGAGGAGAGGAGACGAGGAGGAGGGAGGAGGAGGGAGGAGGAGGGAGGAGGAGAGGGGAGGAGTGACGTGGGCTCGGCGGCCGAGCAGCCGCGGCGTCGGAGAGGCCAGGCTGCCGCTGCGTGCGAGGCGAGCGGCTGGGTCCGAACTCGCAGCGCCGCGCCCTCCTCACCTCAACTCCTCTCCTTCCTTTCCCTCATCCTCCTCCTCCCCTCCTCCCCCTCCTCCCTTCTTCCCCCTCCCTCCCTTCTCCTCCCCTCCTCTCCCTTCCTCTCCCCTTCTTCTTCACCCTCTTCCATCTTCCAGTTCGGCTCACCCCTCACACGATTCACGGCCCCATGGGGAGCTCCACCGCAGGCCCCAGTGGCCGCGTCCGCATGGTGGCCAGCCGAATTTCGTGCACACCCCTCACACGTTTCGTGGCTCCATGGAGGTCTCTACCGAAAGCCCCAGCGGCTGCGTCCGCATAGTGCCCGGCCCCATTTCGGCGCACTCCTCACACGTTTCGTGGCCTCACAGGGCGTTCCACCGGATGCCCCCGTGGCTGCGTCTGCATGGTGAACCGCCAGATTTCGGCGCACCCCTGACACAGTTCGTGGCCCCGTACGGGGGCTCCACCGAAGGCTCCAGAGGTTGCGTCCGCATGGTGACCCGCCCCATTTCGGCGCACCCTTCACACGCTTCGTGGCTTCATAGGGAGCTCTTCCGAAGGTGCCAGTGGTTTGTTCCGCATGGTCAATGGCCCCTCTCGGCGCACCCTCACACGCTTCGTGTCCTCACAGGGAGCTCCACCGAAGACCCCAGTGGCTGCGTCCGCATGGTGACCCGCCCATCCTGGGGCCACCTCGAACTCGCAGTTCTCGTGCACTGCCAGAGGGCAGTGCTCCCACGCGCCCGCGGCGGCCGACGCGGCGAGGAGGGTAGCGACAAAAACTCCCGTCGCGACTTTTTCCCGACGCCCTCGCCGAGCCCTGTGCCTCAGGCCGCCGCGCGCGCGGCGTCCGACGACGGCGGCGTCCGACGACGGCGGCGTCCGACGGCCTCGCGGGTCACCCGCGCGACGACGGCGGCGACGTCCTCGCGGGTCCTCCGCGCGAGGGCGCAGCAGCGGAGAGGCTGGCCGCGAGCATCGAGCATCGGGCGCAGAGCCTCGCCCGAAGCAACCTCGACGGCGAGCCTCCGGGACGCCCCCCGACACTCGCCGCCATGCCACTGGCCGCGGCGGGGGCCCTCCTCGCCGTGGCGGCCGCCGCGGGCGCGTGGGCGCACTGCCCTCTGGCAGTGTACGAGGACTGCGAGTTCGAGGTAGCCCCAGGATTCACAGGAGGGGGAGGCACCCCCAGACCCCCCCCCCGCGTCGTGAACAAATCACGGCGGCAGGTTTTGCACTGTTTTCACCTCCGGGGGCCCTTCCTGGGCCTCGGGGCCGTCAAAACACGACTCAGGATGAGAAGCCGGTCCCGGGGAGGGGGTCCAGACCTCTGGGGGTCGACGTCGTGAAAAAATCACGACGTCGGGGGTTTGGGCCCATACCTCCACCCTGCCCTCATTTGCCCCTTTTTGGGGGCCTCCTGGGAGGCCCTCGTCGCCACCGCCAGACTCGCCTCGAAATTCTCGTCAGAACGCATCCTGGGAGAGGTCCGGGAAGTAGCGGTATCGGTACCTTTCGGTCTCCCCAGGATCCCCGCAGTGCGACCTGCAGCAGCACCTGGACGTGAGCCACTGCGAGACCTACAGGCTTGGGGACGGCGCGAAGCTGTCCGTCGCGTCCCTGACGCCGCCCCGGGGGAGCATTGTCCTCGGGAAGTCCGCGCAGCTGCGCCTGCAGGGGGGGTTGGAGTGCACATGCTCGATCTTGCAGGGACCGCGTTCTATCATTGAGTCGGGCGTGTTCCCCCTACAGGGGGTTTTCGACGAAAAAAAGAATAGTCAAAACAAATTCCGGAAAGGTCAAAAATACTAAAAAAAAAAAAAAAAATGTCCCCCGACTATTTTTGGACTATGTTTTGATTATGTTTGTGGTATTCTTTTTTTTCGTCGAAAATCCCCTTGTAGGGGGACAGGCCCGACTCAATTCTATCATCGAGGTCGGTGGCGAGATCGTAATGACAGCGCTGTCTCCGGGAGCAGAACAGACGCAAGGCGTGGTGCCAGCACGGATGATTCTGCAAGATGGCGCACGCCTGCAGGCCGAACAGTTGAGCATTCAGGCCTTCTCCGAAATGTCGCCAGCTGGGAGCATGGTCCTCGGGGCCTCGGCGCAGGTGCTGCTGAAGGGAGGCTTCGATTGCTCCTGCTCCCTCGATCAGGGAGCGCACTCCGTCTTCGAGGCTGGTGGCGACATCACTGTCAGCGCGCCCTCGCTGAAAGCGGCGGGCCCGCGGTGGACGGAGGTCGTGGACGCGGTGCCACAGCAGGTTTACCAGCCTCGAACGTATCCCTATCCCTATGATTGACACGCCAAAAGGCCATGACAATCCTAGGGATTCGCCCTCAAAACATAAGGGAACCCCTAAGATTGGCGTCGTGACGAGGAGGTGCCCAGCATACACTCTACGCGATGCTTAAGAAAACCTAAGTTTTCGGCCGGAGTATTGATTATTCTTAATGTTTCGGTGTAAATCCCAAGATTTGAATCGACATTCTGGGTTTTTATTCGAATTCAGAGACTATGAATTTCTTAACCCATGATTTCTTAAGCATTTCGCAGGGCATAGGGATAGGGATCTGCTCCAGGCTGGGAGCAGGTGAGGCTCGGCGAGGGGGCGCGCCTGCGAGGCGGCGCGGTGGGCCTCCTGAGCGGCCGCCTCCTGGTGGGGCAGAGCGGCTCGCTGGAGGCGGAGAGGGACCTGCAGGCTCGCGTCACGTTGGGCCTGTCCCCCCACAAGGGGGATTGTCGACGAGATTGTAAAACAATACCCCCAAGATAGCAAGCACAAACCAAAACAAACACACAATCCAAACATCGTCTGGGGACTATGTTTGGAGTTGTTTTGACCTTTTGGGGGTATGTTTGAGTTTTTTGTTTTTGGTGTATTTTTCGTCGAAGATCCCCCTGTATGGGGTACACGCCCGACAGAAGGCTCGCGCCCAGCACCTGGCACTGTGGGGCAGCGCCCGCGCTGTGCACCGCGGCAGCTTCCACGCCTCGGGCAGTCTGGCCGTCGGGCCAGGCGCGGAGCTCACCGCCCACGCCGTCCTCGCGGAGTCCTGCGGCACCGCGGCGATCGACGGGCTCGTGCAGGGGACTATCGTTCGTGTGATGGCGAGCCTTCTCGAGGGCAAGGGCAGCATATCGCCCCCTTCGGCCTCGGCCGAGCTCGCTGAGCGGAGCGCGAACGAGGGGTTCTGCAGCAGCCTCGGCCCCGACTGGGAGGCTTCTGGCCGTGAGGCAGCTGCCGAGGGCGAGGGTTGGGCATCCTTGCGCTGCACTGATGCAGCAGATCGCTGTCACTGCATATCTCTTCGGTGGCGAGAGGACCACCCGGCTGGTGCGCGCCAACCTCCCAGGCCGACCGACGGCGGCCTCGTGCACGAGAGCCACACTTGCTGTGCTGAGCCCAAGGACACCATCTCGTGCGGCGGCTATCACACGGCGGTCCTGCGCAGCGACGGGACGGTGTGGACCGCGGGAGAGGGCGCGGAGAGCCAGCTCGGGGCCGGGGCGCAGGCCGTGGCCCTCGGCGGCGTGCACACGGCGGTCCTGCGCAGGGACGGGACGGTGTGGACCGCGGGACGGGGCGCGGAGGGCCAGCTCGGGGACGGGCAGACGTCCGACCGGGCCACGTTCGCCGAGGTGATGGCCGGGGCGCAGGCCGTGGCCCTCGGCGCCGCGCACACGGCGGTCCTGCGCAGGGACGGGACGGTGTGGACCGCGGGAGCGGGCGCGAAGGGCCAGCTCGGGGACGGGCAGACGTCCGACCGGGCCACGTTCGCCGAGGTGATGGCCGGGGCGCAGGCCGTGGTCCTCGGCGATAGGCACACGGCGGTCCTGCGCAGGGACGGGACGGTGTGGACCGCGGGACGGGGCGTGGAGGGCCAGCTCGGGGACGGGCAGACGTCCGACCGGGCCACGTTCGCCGAGGTGATGGCCGGGGCGCAGGCCGTGGCCCTCGGCGGCGTGCACACGGCGGTCCTGCGCAGGGACGGGACGGTGTGGACCGCGGGACGGGGCGCGGAGGGCCAGCTCGGGGACGGGCAGACGTCCGACCGGGCCACGTTCGCCGAGGTGATGGCCGGGGCGCAGGCCGTGGCCCTCGGCGGCGTGCACACGGCGGTCCTGCGCAGGGACGGGACGGTGTGGACCGCGGGATGGGGCGAGAGGGGCCAGCTCGGGGACGGGCAGACGTCCGACCGGGCCACGTTCGCCGAGGTGATGGCCGGGGCGCAGGCCGTGGCCCTCGGCGCCGTGCACACGGCGGTCCTGCGCAGGGACGGGACGGTGTGGACCGCGGGAAAGGGCGCGGAGGGCCAGCTCGGGGACGGGCAGACGTCCCACCGGGCCACGTTCGCCGAGGTGATGGCCGCGGAGAAGGAACCGATCGGAAAGTTTTTGTGGCCTGGCCTCGAGCTGCACTTCGGCAAATTGGGGCGGCCGTTTCCGTCGGTGCACGCGAATTGGAGCAGCATTGTTCATCCAGGCTACCGAGGAAGAGGGGGGAGGATGAGGATAGCGGTGGGGAGGGATGCGAAAAGAGCTTAGTTCATGACGCTTCGCGAGTCTCCACCAGATCATACAGAAAGGATGCCCAGGCAAGTTGCCTTCATCAGGACGGTGTCGAGACACGCAGTATGACACGTTCTGGGTCAGCCTGATCAGACCCTGGACGAGGAGGAGGACGAGGAGGAAGAGGAGGAGGAGGACGAGGAGGAGCATGAGAACAAGGAGGAGGAGGAGGAGGAGGAGGAGAAGGAGCATTAGGACGACGAGGAGGCGCATGAGGACGAGAAGAAGGACGAGGAGGAGGACGAGCAAGAAGAGGAGGGCGAGGAGGAGGAGGAGGAGGAGGAGGACGAAGATGAGGACGATGGGGAGGATGACGAAGCCTCTGGGAGCCGTCTTGGGCTCTTGTGGAGGCCCTCTTAGGGTCCAACTTAGGGTCCTCTTTGGGCTCTCTCGCAGGTCTCTTGGGACCCCTTTTGGGGCTCCCTTGGGGAGTTGGGACTCTCTTGGGGCCCTCTTCGGAGTCTTGGAGGGCCTCTTGGGATCTTGGGGCCGTCTTCAAGGGCGTCATTCGAACAAGGAGGGGTCGTACATTGTCATCCCTCTTTTTAAGACCATCCAAATCGCGGCCCTCTAGTGGCGCTCTTGGGCGCTCTTGGGGCCGTCTTCAGGACCTCCTGGGCCACGCTTGGGGCGCTCTTGGGCCATCGTGGGTCATCTTGAGACCTCAAAGCCGCATCGGGAAACATTGCGAAAATGCACAAGTCTTTGATTATTCTAGGTCGTTGAAGGATTTGGGCCTCTTGGGAAAGTCCTGAGAGGGCTCCGAGAGCACTCGGAGCCTTCTTGTGGTCCCTCTTGGGGCCTCTTGGAGGCATGTCGGAAGCCATCTTGGATAATCTTTTTTGGGCCATTTAGGTGCCATCTTGGAGCATCGGGGGCCCTCTTAGGCGCTCTAACGGCTCGCGGAAGCCTGCAACAAAAACCTCAGGAGGGGTGTGCGTGTTTGTGTGTGTGTGTATTTGTATGTGTGTGGGGGGGGGGGGGGAACGCTACCCTTCCTGAAGGGAAACCTTTTTTTCAAGGGGGAGCCAACAAATCGTCAGACCACCTACGCCCAGAGAGTTGTTGAGATGATAACGACGACCAGGATGATGAAGACGATGATTGTTGTGGTGGTGATTGTGGTGCTGGCTATGCGGATGACGATGATGATGGTAGCGACGGCGGTGGTGGTCATGATGTTGAGCGCACGTGATCAGGAGGTAGAGAAGGAAGAGGAGGAGACGGAGAAGGGGGAGGAGAAGGATGAGGATGAGCACAAGGGGAGCGGAGAAAGAGGAGATATCGAAGGATAGGGGAAGCAGCAGCAACATGATGGTGAGCGGGCGAGGAGCATGGGATTATGGAGGAGGATACCAGCGTACGGTATTGTCTTGCTCCTGGCTTCGTCCTAAGCTCAGAACTCCGACGTCGTGTTTTCTTGTTTCGCAGCGGGGACCAGTGGAGGTCAAGACCAGTTCCCGGGACCGGCTCTTCATCCCGAGCCATTCCTCCTTGGTCCCAGAGAGGGGTGAGGGTGAGGGCCTCCCAGTGCCCGACAATGGCCAAAGACCTCCAGTCGGTACCTTTTCTCGGCGCGGGAAGGCGGGAGAGGGTGGGTGGGCAGCAGCGGACCCAGACCCCCGACGTCGTGATTTTTTCACAACGTCGACCCCCAGAGGTCTGGACCCCTTCCCCGGGACCGGTTTCTCATCCTGAGTCGTTTTTTGACGCTCGAGGCCGAACATAAGGAAAAACCTACCGTCGTGATTTTTTCACGGCGCCAGGAGGTCTGGGGAGAGGGTGGGTGGCCAGCAGCGGAAGCGCTCGTCGAGGTGACTCCGTGCACCGCCTGCCCCGCGGCCGCTTGGAGCACCTCCACGAGCCGTTGGCGGGGCCACCTCGGGGCAGCCCATACCAGGGGGCTGCGGGGGACTCGCCCGGCTCCCCCTCCTCCTCCTCCTCTTCCTCCTCCTCCTCCTCCTCCTCCTCCTCCTCCTCCTCCTCCTCCTCTCCTTGTGACTCCTTCTCCTCCTCTCCTCCTCCTCCTCCTCCCCCCCCCCTCCCCCCCATCCTCCTCCTCCTCCTCCTCCTCCTCCTCCTCCTCCTCCTCCTCCTCCTCCTCCTCCTCCTCCTCCTCCTGGCTCAAGCATTTTACTCCTGTCAGGTCCAGGAGCTTGGGGCTCGAACAATTCTGCCTGTTCGCATCCACCCCACAGAGTTTTTCGGGCCACTTCCCACCAGCCAGCCATGCCTGCCACCTCTGCGAAGGAGCACCTCTCCATCGTGATCTGCGGGCATGTTGACACTGGCAAGAGCACCACCACCGACCGCGTCCACTACGACCAGGGCTGCCTTCCGGAACTCGAACTGGAGCAGTTGAAGAAGGAGGCCGAACGCCTGGCAAAAGGCTCTACCGCTTTCGCGTTCTATATGGACCGTCAGAAGAAGGAGCAGGAGTGCGGTGTGACACGCGCCTGCACCACCCAAGACTTCTACACCGAGAAGTGGCACTACACCGTCGTCATCGATGCCCCAGGCCATCGCGATCTCAACAAGGCCGACTACCTTCTGAAGAAGTCTGACAGCATGGGCTGGTGGAAGGGCTGCGATGTCAAGTACGGCAAGGACTGCGACACCGATAAATACAAGCAGCCCCGCTATGCCGAAGTCGCGAAAGAGTCGAAGATCATGCTGGTCAAGCACGGGTGGAACAAGGACTTCGTCAAGAAGGGCACGCCTGTAATGCCAAGCTACGGCTGGATGTGCGATAACCTGCTAAAGGAGTCTGACAACATGGGCTGGAGGAAGGACTGCGTTGACAAGTACGAGAAGGCCCCATCCACGTGGACACCGTCTTCGATGTCCTGGTCGTGATGGGCCGCGTTTTGCCTTGCTCATGGCTTGCCGATGGCGGCAAGTCCCGCGCTGATTTACAATTCAGGGCTCGCTCAAGCCTTTCTCGCTGCCAAGATGTGTTGTTCAGATATGTGGCAGGTCGAGAGCTTTACAAAGTGTGAGGTGCTTCCCTGTAGGAGGTACAATGGTCAGAGATGAAGGGCCCCCTGGAGGGTCGGTGGTTCCCTGAGAGGTCTAATAGCATTGCTGTTGGTCTCAGTGGAGAGGCCCGCGGGATTAGTCTTCCCCGCTCTCCTCTCACTCAGTTCTAATTGAATGCGAAGTGTATGTGATATGTTATTCGAGTAGTGTTCCCTTGAATGCGAAGTGAATGTGTTGACAAGGCAGGTCGAGAGCCTCACTCAAGTGAGGTGCTTCCCTGCGGCATCAAGCATGGCAGCTCTCTCAAATTCAGGCAGTCGCACGACGACTGAGCACCGTTGTGTCCTTATGGCCAACCCCACTGTGGGTGCCGGCCACGGCCCAGACGTCCTTCGACGAACTGTGTCCCCCCACCACGTGCTGATCCTCCTCCTCCTCCTCCTCCTCCTCCTCCTCCTCCTCCTCCTCCTCCTCCTCTCCTCGTGACTCCTCCTCCTCCGCCTCCTCCTCCTCCTGCTCCTCTTCCTCCTCTTCCTCCTCCTCCTCCTCCTCCTCCTCCTCCTCCTCCTAGGTCACATTCGCTCCTCCTCCTCCTCCTCCTGTCCTCCTCTCCTCCTCTCCTTCTCCACCTGGTCCTAGCCTATCCTTCTCCTCCTCGCGGACGCAACAGTCATGTTGATTCTCGCGGTGGTGAAGTCCCCACAAAGGCGTTCTGGCACGATCCCAGATCGTGAAGACGCAGCAGTCAGGTTTACACGTGGCGGTGACATCCCGAGAAAATATTTTGGCACGCTTCAGGATCTTTAAATTTTTGTCATCCAACGAGGCAGTTCCCTCAATGGAAATGAACCGTTGTAGGGGCCTATGAAGAGGGAGCTTGGAGGGAAGGCTCATTCCAACATCGTTGATGACTCTTGGGTTCACACTGGTCGTCGTCGTCCTCCTCCTCCTCCGCCTCATCCCTTTCATCCTTCCATCCCTCGTCTCCCTTCCCTGCTCTGTCTTCACGTTCTCCTGTCACCCCTCCTCTTTTTCCCCCCTCTGCCACTCCGATAATCTCCCCTTCCTCTTCCCCCTCCTTGCCCCTCTTCTCTTCGCGCCCCTCCCCTTAGTCCTCGACCCCCGCATCCATCTCCCCCCTGTCTCTTCTTTTCCTCCCCTTCCCCAGCAATTACATAGTATGCAAAAATGTCCCTCTCTCCCCTGACCCTGCCTGGAAGATCTTCGGCCCCCTTTGCCGCACAGATTGCTGAGCTGTTGTTCCTATGTGTTTTGTTGTCATTTGATCGTTTTCGGTGTTTCAAGAAATAGTGTTCCCGCTGCCGGATGGGCCTCATTTTCGGATCGGCGCTGCGCTCCCGTCGTCTAGAATGGCGCTCTCGCTCGAGCGCGCGGGCCACTTGTCTGCATCCGAGTCGTTTTTCATCTTTGTCGCCCCCTTGTTTCCCCTCCTCCGCCTTCCCCTGGTTCTCCTGCTCCTCCCGCTCATTCCACTCCGCGTCCTGTTGCTGCTGCTGCTGCTGTTATTCGCCCTCGTCCTCCTCCTTTGTCATCCTCCTGCTCATCCTCCTGCTCACCCGCCACCTCCTCCTCCTTTTCCTCCGTTTCCTCCTTCCCCTCCACCTTCCCTTATGTACGCAGCTTCCCTGTTCCGATCGCGCATATCACGATGGGCTCTTCTGTGAAGTCCCCAGTCGGTTGTGACACGCGTCCGCGGATAGAAACAAAAATCCAGCTCAAAGGGAAGGAATGGGGAGGGACAGGGTGTCGGATATGTCGGGCTTGCTTCCCCCCCATTTCCCCCCCCTCTCCCGTCCAATTCATCTCTCCCCTTCCCTCTCCCTCCCTTCCCGCCCCTTCCCTCCGCCCGGCCCCCTCCCCTCCCCAGACCACCGACGTCGCGACTTTTTCGCACCGTCGACCCCCACAGGTCTGGACCCTTTCCCGAGGACTGGTTTTGCATCCCGAGCCGCTTTCGGGCGACCCCGAGGCCCGGGGAGGGCCCCCGGAGGCCGAAAACAGCGGAAAATGTCCGTCGTGTTTTTTTCATGAGGGGGCGATGCTGATGCGGAGGAGGAGGATGATGATGATGAGGAGGAGGAGGAGGCCGAAGCGAGCGAAAAACTTGACGACGTGGTTTCTTCGCAGATCGAAGAGAAGGGCCCCCAAAGGGCCGACCCCGGCGAGAAACACTCCCGCATTGAGCCCTCCGCCGCGCGGCCAGCTCGGGTGGGTCCAGCCTCCCACTCCTCCTCCCCCTCCTCCTCCTCCTCCTCCTCGTCCTCCTCCTCCCCCTCCTCCCCCTCGGCGGGCTGATGATGGCTCCTGGGAGCCCGTCTCGGGAGTTTCGTCCCCCCTCCTGGGGCCGCGGCAGACTGTGTCGCGCGCGGAGATAGCTGCGCTCGCCATCGCTCTGGAAGAAACCACGGGGCCCATCATTTATGTCACTGATTGCCAGCCTGTCCTGGATGGTTGGAGAGCGGGTCGTGCCCACGGCAAGTTAGGCCCGAATCAGGACTTGTGGTTCAGGGTGGCGGTGGCGTTGCGTAATAGGGGGGCGGCTGAAGTACAGGTCGTGTGGACGGCTGCCCATCTTGAGGACTCTGGCAAGGCTCTCAGTGCTAGGCAAGCGTTCCTCACTGCTGGCAACATGTGCGCTGATGACCTTGCGGGGAGAGCGGCGGACGAGGCCTTGATCCTGTATACTCGCCAGCCTGCCCCCAGGACCGACATCTATGATTGCATCGCCCACCTTGTCAGACGCAGGGCCAGACGTGCGTTGCTGTGCTCACTCCAGGTTGACCCCTGGCAGGCCACTAGGCTCGCCAAAGTGCGGGTGCCCCCTCCCTCCAGGAAGGCCGCTGCCCTGAGGGACACCTCTCATGATTGTGAGCAGGTCGGGGGCAGATGGCGCTGTAGGGTTTGCAGTCAGATTGTTGCCACCACCCAGCTCCTCAAGTTTTGTGCCCAGTCTTGTCCAGGTCTGGCCCCAGAGGTCCGAGGCCAGAAGACGGAGTGGAGCCAATTTGTCTTGAGGACTGGTGAGATTTTGATTGGGGCCACCTCGGCCCACTCGTCCCACAAAATCTTCTACTGGCCTGAGTTTTCCCTGCATTTTTGTGTTTGCTGTGGGCTTACCGCCACAGTGGATGGCAGGTGGCTCGCACGACCCTGCCAGGAGCCCTCCCCCAAAGGAGCCCAGAACCTTGACAGGATCCGTCGAGGCATTTTTCCCTCGCACAGGGGACCCCCGAAGGCTGTGCAGCTGGCCAGAGTGCAGCGTGAAGCTTCGGACGCGGTCCAGCGTGCGAGGGAGGCTCGGGAGGAGAGGGGAATGCAGCAGCGCCCCTTGTGTGAGGGTGGTGTGGGTGGAGTGGCCCGCCGACCCACCAGGATCCCTCACCGTGATGGCGGGGACTCATCGTCTGATTAGTCCCCGCCCAACCCGTTTTGTTTTGCGGACGCTCGTCCTTTCATGGTCACTTCTGGTCACGTCGCCTCCTCCTCCTCCTCCTCCTCCTCCTCCTCCTCCTCCTCCTCCTCCTCCTCCTCCTCCTCCTCCTCCTCCTCCTCCTCCTCCCCCTCCTCCTCCTCCAGCCCCCCCAAGATCAGGATGCGGGGCCGACGCTGGGGCACCCCGGCCCCTTCACCGCGCCAGGAGCCACGCCGCGGCGCGGGCGATGGCGGCCGCTTCTCAGGCGGCGAGGACCTGCGCTGGCAGGTCCATCAGGGCACTGCCACCCCAGACCCACTCGCGTCTTGAAAAAATCACGACAGGAGGTTTTGCACTATTTTCGGCCTCTGGAGGCCCGTCCAGGGCCTCGTGACCGTCAAAAAAC